ATCACCAGGTCAAAGCCCCAACGTTGAAGCAATATTTTTTCCTCTACGCATGAGTCATATACACATCTAACTGACTGAACGGTGGCTGAGTGGATAGTACTCTCCTGGGTTCACATCCTTAACAGGGTCTTTCTGAGCATGTTCTCCCTGTGTCTGCGTAGGTTTCCTCCGGGTGCTCTTGGATTCCCCTACCACTAAAAACATGCGCAATAGGCAAAATCTAGCCTGGTCGTATCACACCATAGTACAAATTGAATTTCGTACTAATGTCTGGAGGTGCTCCATTGAGCTCCGTTTATGGTGGGAGGGGTTAACTCCTTTTGCAGATTTAAATCTATGTATGTATATGTACATGTGGGTATATGTATGTCTATGTGTATATATATGTGTGTATGTATATATGTATGTATATATTTGTGTATGGATAAATGTGTATTATATTATTGTACGTATGTGAATTATGTATATATCAAGGTATGTATGTGTAAGTGTTATGCATTTGATTGGCAATAGGGGGTAGGCCCAGATAAGCTGTTTCAGCTTCTGCCAACTCCCTTTTGGGCTATTTTTTTCTTTTTTTTCTTCTTCACATTATTATTTCTTTTGTCTTCTAAATGCCCAATAAATGAATAAATGAAAAATGAAAAAAAAATGAATGAAATGATTGGATCTGAGTTTACCGTGAGGTATGTAGTGCGCCTGAGTCTGTTGTTGCGCCACAATTTTTTCCAGCGATTACATTTGCTAAACATTACCCTTGCTCTGGCTTTAATTTCTTGATAGAACAAGACCGTTTTTTGCCATTACCAAACTCCAACCTGCCTGTTCGATGCAAACTCTTGACATCACCCACAACTAACTACAACACCCGCCTTCCACGCTCTCTGAATGGTCGGTCGAAATTCAACCGATTGTATTCGATAACACAGGGACCAGACCCAGACGTTACATGCAGTGAAATGATGATTGAACGGAGTGTACGGATGGCTAAGGCCAGGCTAGGTAAAATCCTCCATCTCCGGTTCTGAAGCTGAGTATCAACAACTAGAGATGGGTTCCCGGGCGCTGTAGCACGGCAACCACTGCTCCTGACAGACGCCTTAGTGGCATCAGGATGGGTCAAATGCAGAGGAAGCAATAACAAAAGCAGAGATAGAGTAGCCTATATTAGACGATCCAAATACTTTCCTGTTGGATGGAATTGGATTAGTGTTTTCTTTTTCTTGGTCCAATCCATTTTCAAACAAAATCTAATTTAAAATAGATAAAAATGTATTGTTAGTTGAATATGAATGAGTTAATGTGATTAATTGGGACTTAAATATATTAATCAGCACTAATAATTAGACTCCATCAGAAATTACACGTACATAGAATCTTAGTCACATGAAAAAAAAGTTAGACACTGAATTGGTCACTTTCTTTTTATTTGTCAGAAAGAAATCCTGATGGAAACCCAAGTATATCCCTAACATCACGTAACACTAACGTAGACATTACAGAGACCGTCCTCCATCTTGGTGCTGTCAGTGTGAAAACCCAGACGACGTATTTCCAGGCTTCAGTTTGGTCGAGTCGGAGTTTGGTCGTTCCCGCGGGACTCTCGGCTCCGTATATGGTCAGACCGGACTCTATCTGGTCCCAGGGCTTCCTCCGCCTTACAGCCCTGTCGCCATGGAAACAGCAGAGATACCCAGAGACAGAGAGAGAGAGAAGGAGCGGAGCCCGAAAATATGTGAGAAGCTCGGAGTGAGGTGTTACAGGAGACAGATGATTACTGAACAAAGGAGTCTGTTTTGTCATTCTGAGTTCATTCTCCCTGTCAGTCTGCAGAAAACATGCTTGAACAACACTAAAATAAATGAAATTAAATTTACAACTTCAAATCTTTATCTCTATTCACTTGTAACCTTATGACATCCTCAGAAACTTGTTGATATACATGAGTTGTTATTTTGGGAAGTGAATGATCATAGTAGCTGCAGAAAACTAACACTGATGCTGGAAATGTGACCCCAGGGCAATGAACTGGGACGAAGGGGCTGCTATACTCACACACCTGAATAGACTGCAGATGGCGCTGTTGTCCTGCCTCTGGTGGGAGGAAGACTAGAGAGGGACTAGAGAGACCAGGGAAAGAGAGCAGAAAGATACCAGAGAACGACTACAGAGAGACCAGAGAGACTAGAGAGAGAGAGAGACCAGGGAAAGACCAGGGAAAGAGAGCAGAAAGATACCAGAGAAGGACTACAGAGAGACCAGAGAGAGAGAGAGAGAGCAGAGAGAGAGCCCAGAAATAGAGCATGGAGATAACAGAGAAAGACTGGAGAGAGACTAGAGAGAAACCAGAAAAAGGGATCAGGCATAGAGAGACCAGAGAGAGACCAGAGAGAGACTAGAGAGAGAAACTAGAGAGAGAGACCAGGTTATGTCCACAAGCTTTAAGGAGATGATTTTCCTCTTTCACTTAAAATGTCCATTCATAAATACTTAGATTATCTCCGTCAGCTCTTGGTCCAGGTGTGGTCTGGTCTTGTTTTGGATCTGGTTTGGTCTCGTTTTGGGGGGCCCTGTCCTGGAGTGGCCTTTCTTTAAGCTGTTGAATCAAAGCCCGAGGACGTAACAGCAGAAGTGTTGTTCATTATCTTTGTGGCGTAAATGTGAGTTTGTCGAGACGAGACCGACCGCTTCTGCTCTGTGTTTTCAGTCAAACTTCATAATTAAACCTGAGGGATTTGAGTCTCGCACTCGGCACGACTCCGGTGGATGTGTGAGGAGAGGAGGCTCGACTCTCTCGCTGGTCCCTCTCTCTGGTATCTCTCTGGTCTCTCTTGTCTCGCTCTGGTCTCTCTCTCGGATTTCTCTCTCTGGTCTCTCTTTCTGGTCTCTTTTTGGTCTCTCTCTGGTCTCTCTCTGATCTCTCTCTGGTCTCTCTCTCTGGTCTCTCTCTCTCTGGTCTCTCTCTCTGGTCCCTCTCTCTGGTCTCTTTCTGGTTTCCCTCTCTGGTCTTTCTGATGGATATGGAGTAGAGGAATAGATCTGTAATTAATGAATCCTCTGTTAAGTTAAAGGAGACATAACACACACAATCAGCTTTTCACAGCTTTTGGCATTCTTGTAACTGTATTCCATAGTGTTTTGGTCTTGGGTCTGGTTTTGGGATGACTCTGGTTTTGGTCTGGTCTCGGTTCAAGTCTAGTCTTTGTCTGGTCTTCAGCTGGGTCTTGTTTTGGTCCAAATCTTGTCTCGATCCAGGCATAGTCTTGGTTCGGTCTTCGTCCAGGTTCGGTCTTGATCTGGGTATGAGCTTGAGATGGATCTGGTCTTGGGTCTGATCTTGGTCTATGTCCGACCTTGGTTCGATCTTGGTCTCGGTCCAGTCTTGGTCCGGATCCATTTTTGGTCTTGGTCCGGGTCCTTTCTTGATCCAGTCTTGGTCTCGTTCTGGCTCCAGTTTTGGTCCACTCTTGGTCCGGTCTTGGTCTGGGTCCTGATCTTGTTTGTGGTCCATCTCCAGTCTTGTTTTGGGTCCAGTCTAGGTCCGGATCTTGGTCCGGGTCCAGTCTTGGTCAAGTGTTGGTCCAGTCTTGTTCAAGTCTTGGTCAAGTCTTGGTCCAGTCTTGGTCAAGTCTTGGTCCAGGTCCTTGTCCAGTCCTGGTCTTCGTCGTGGTCTCGTTCTGGGTCCAATCTTGGTCCAGTCTTGGTCTAGTCTTGGTCTAGTCTTGGTCTACATCCGCCTGTCTCTGTCTCAGTCTCTCGTCTGCATTAAACCTGCCTCTTATATAGTGGTGTTTTTCTGCGACTGAAAAAACAGAATTCTCTCATTTGTACAAAACACACGTCTTCAACAACAAACAGATATTTGTGATTCAGGGCAGAATCTCCACGGATCCTTCTCTTCACCTTTTTACATTTTTATCATGAAATATAAAAATCTAAATAAGAAATATCCAGTTTATTTATATAGCACATTAATGCGTTTCACCAAAAGATAAGTTGTTTCGAATAAAAAAAAAACATCCAACCGATTTTACTCTTCTGCAATGTTTTAATTCAACTCCAAGACTGATGAGTAAATAACTTTTAAGTGAGGCAAGTTTATTCGTATGGCACAGTTCATACACACGGCGGCTCAAAGTGCTGAACAAAACAAGAAACAAATAAAATCATAAATAATCACAGTACATTCAAAAGAGTGAAGATACAATCCTTCAGTTGTTGCAGCGAAACAGAACTGTTTTAACCTGGATTTGAACATTGTCAGAGTAGAAGCCTGTCTCACATTTTCAGGAAGACTGTTTGAACTGCACCACCAGGACTGACCAGAAGGAGGCCAGTCCCTGTGCCTCCTGTACACAGAAGAACATTGCTAACATAGTCTGTATGTAGATGGACAATTCTAACCCACTAGCTCAAAGAAGCCCAATGGGGAAGTGCTCATGAACGAAGTTTTGCTCCAACTCACTCCTGCTCCCAAAAAACAATCCCTCACAATCATCGAATTTTAGAAACATAAGTCCTTCTAGAAATAGTCTTTGACAATGTTCAAATCCAGGTTAAAAACTAGTATTTTTAGTTGTGCATACAACGGAGGGATTTTATCTTCACTCTTTTCAACGGACTGTGATTATTTAGGATTTCAAGGTCTTATGTGTCTCTATCTTGTTTTCTTCAGCACTGCCAAATATGAACTTTCCAAGTACATAGTCTCAAATCATGTTCAAGGACCACAGTACCATTAAAAATAGTTCTTTTTCTGTATAGTTTCGTGTCTGGCTGTGACCCTCTGAACAATGTCCTTACTGACTGTGTGTTTGATCTGCAGACTCTGATCTCAACACCAACGACAACAACAACTGAGAGGACCATGCTCCCGCCGCCGCTGTAATGGCTTCTATCCCCATCAAACAACTCCTGCTTTAAGTTCAGGACTCTTTCAACTCCCTCCTTTCATCACCCGAACCATCAAAGCCCAAAGATCCCGCTGACCTCCGAGGGACATGATTCCACCACGGCGCCCGGCGGGTTGGGTGCGTTCCCTCAAGACGCACATTTGTATATTTTGTGTTTCTCTGCTTTCTTACGCCACAAGCTTACCTGCGGTGGACTACAGCCTGGACCCCAAGAAGGAGATCACTTTAGATGGCGATTTGATGATCGGTGGCTTGTTCCCGGTGCATCAGAAAGGAGAAGGAATGGAGGATTGCGGGAAGATCAACGCGCAGAGAGGTATACAGAGACTGGAGGCCATGCTGCTGGCGCTGGACGAGATTAACCGGGACGAGCGCATCTTGCCGGGGATGCGTCTGGGCGCCCACATCCTCGACACCTGCTCCAAGGACACGTACGCCCTGGAGCAGAGTCTGGAGTTCGTGAGGGCGTCGCTGACCAAGGTGGACGACAGCGAGTACACCTGCCCTGACGGGTCGTACGCAATCCACGATGACGTACCCCTCGCCATCTCCGGGGTCATCGGCGGGTCGTACAGCGACGTGTCCATACAGGTGAGAAAGAGGGCAATGATGTAAATAAGTATGTAAGTACAATTATTCCTTGCTATGGAAAATACTCAGGATTGTTTTAATGATTGGGGTTATTGTCAGTTCATAAACTTATTAGAATCATCACTGTCCTTAGACTCCTGCATTAGCAAGGAACCACTTAAAAAAAGTTGGACATTTCTGAAAAACCTTTGGGTGGCCCATATTGAGAGAGGGATCCACTCACATGGACAGGCTGTAGATCCAGGACTGAGGCTGTAGATCCAGGACTGAGGCTGTAGATCCAGGACTGAGGCTGTAGATCCAGGATTGAGGCTGTAGATCCAGGACTGAGGGTATAGATCTAGGACTCAGGGTATAGATCCAGGACTGAGGCTGTAGATCCAGGACTGAGGCTGTAGATCCAGGACTCAGGCTGTAGAAACAGGACTGAGGCCTTTTTCCTGAAGTGTTTTTTACCAACGCATAAATGTGTTGATCTTCAGTGTATTATTGTAACCTTATCAGAACACATTTACCCTCATACTCCACTGAGCTAAACTCACAAATTCCGGATAGATTCTCCTCTCAGACAAGCTCCAGATGTCTCCACTGACAAGAGGAGCAGTGACAGAATCATTACTGGCCTTGTACCGTGAAGACAACACTAATTGGCTTTTCCAAATCTCCCCCCGCATTGTCAAATCGAGGGAGGAGGAGGAGTTTGGAATCCTGCACAACTGTATGATGTCATCGAGGGCCGGCGAGAATGGGTCTTGTTTGTGCAGCGAGTCGTGGAGAAGTGTCAAGCGGACGACTGCATTGCACAGTTCACCTCACAGGAAAGTTTGAGCAGGGTGTGAGGAGAGAGAGAGGAGGGTGGAGAGATAAGAGGAACAGGGGAGGAGAAGAGAGAGAGGAGAAGGGAGAGAGGGGGAAAAGAATGGAGGGGGAGAGGGAAAAGGGAGAGAGCAGAGGAGAGTGACAGGAGGGAGAGGGGAGGCAGCTGTAGTGAAGGCCTCATTTCAGGTAAAAATTCATTTCAATATGTTTATTTATTGTATTAAAGATGCTATAAACGATTTCATTTTATATGAGTTAATAAAAATGCTTATTACTACATTTAAGTTGTATTATAATCCGTAATTTAATACAAAACTTGGGCTCATTGATTCAGTTTGTGTATGAATTCAGGCCGTATAAAAGTGCTGAGTAGAGACTTAACGTGACGCTCTTTCTCCTCCAATCACAGAACAGGCGGCGTCCTCTAGCCTCTACAGCGCTGCTAAACACAGTAGCATGTTAGCAGAATTGGCAATAACTCCTCTGGCTGTAACTGCAGACACAGCAAAACAGCCCAAACGACACAACAGTAAGGAAGAGAAGAACTAAAGCGAAAAAATGATCAAAGAAGAAATCAAGCCCGGGTAAACATAGCTAGCTTACATAGTGTCCTCTGGAGATACTTGTCTATGGAGAGACCTGCGGGACCGCATCGGACTATCTATGCTCAGACTACATTCGGTCGCGGTAATCTTTTAGTTTTATATTTTGATAACAGTGCGTTGCTTTTGTACCACTTCATCAGAGATTGTTGTACGGCTTACAAGAAGTTGCGCATCTAAAACTAGATGGCTTCGTGGACTGAGAGCGTAGGGGAAATGAGAAGCCTGTGAGCGAGTTGAGGGGCGGTGCTAAACATTCAAACCTTGCAGAAACGGGTATAGCTCCTTTAAAGAATAAATGTGACGCATTTGCTTTGTCATTTCAGGTTTGAGAGTGTAGAATAAAATTTTCAGAGGAAAATATTTGGTAAAACAAGTGAGATAAGGGTGGAAAAATACTTTCTGCGTGTAACTCCTTATGCTTCCACCAGAGGGAGATTTAGTTTTTTACGAATTTTAAAAGTTACTGGATATGTGATTTTGGAGAATATATTTTTACTTGGGACAGTGATAAAACTAATTTATGGACAATGCTTTTGTTTTAAAAGACATGCTAAGCACCACTTCCACAAGCTCTACTTGACTCTACGATTGGGGGTGTCCCCACTGGCCCTGTTCAACCCGTATCACGTCCTTCTTTAGACCCTCTTGGCCCTGGTTCTATCCAGGCCGAGCTGATACTTAAGTCTTCTAACTTAAGTGACACTTCCTATACAAGACCAGAGACTATAGAGACCTGAGAGAGAACAGAGAGAGAACAGAGAGAGAACAGAGAGAGACCAGAGAGAGACCAGAGAGATCAGAGAGAGATTAAAGACAGACCAGGTCAGCTTGCAGAGACTATAAAGCCAGTGATGAACGATCTGTAATTTCAGAGGAATCCTGGATCTCTCCTGAGGTCGCCGCTGTCTCCTGGTAGATTTATGGAAGTGTGTTTTCAGGGTCGAGGTCTGAGGGCAGCCCCAGCTCCACAGAAGTCCATATTTAATACCAGCGGCAGACAGCGTTCCCATCGTTAACAAGACCAGAGAACCTCCTGCCTCAGTCTGTCCGGGTGATGTAGCGGTAGATCTCGATTGGAGAGTGACGTTTGTAAAAACAGAAATGGCAGAGAACTACTCCTGAAGCAGTTGGAGTTCAATTTGATTAACTTGGAGAACACACACATGCATAATTTACAACATCGTTTTCCAAGAATAATGAAAAGATTTGCAGTTAAATAGATATGTAATGACTCAACAATGAATCCTTCAGGATCACAGGAACCACAGGTTGCAGACCCCTGCTGTAGAATGATTACTGAAGTTGTGTTGTCGAGAATGTGGATCTAAGAACATGAGGAAGACCATTTTTGACCTACCCTTTAAAGACACAGTAACAAGGACATAAGTAACTGACTATCACTGAATATAACATTCTAGAATATGAGAGTAAGATTTTCTACAGCTCTCCTCTGGGATAAAGTACAGTACAGTACAGTAGAGTAAAGCCGAGTAGAGTAGAGTAAGGCTGGTGGAAACAGGGCTCAGATGTGTGCAGCAGAGTTTGATACCACCTCCAGAGAAGGCCTTTCTGTGTGGAGTTTGCATGTTCTCCCTGTGTCTGCGTGGGTATCCTCCAGGTGCTCCAGTTTCCCCTACCACAAAAAAAATGTAGTTCTTCTCTGGTTTCTCTTTACTTTCTATCGACTCTCTCTGATCTCTCTCCGGGCTCTCTTTCTAGTCTCTTTTTCTGGCATCTATCTGGTCTCTCACTGGGGCCATGACTCCCTTGAAAAAGAGATTCTGAAATACCAGTGGGACGAATCCTGGTAAAATTAAGGTTAGGATATATTAGAAGTAGACTGACTGAGTGTGACATCACCACAGTGTTAGCCTTAATGCAGAAGAAACAGATTTGAAAGCTAGCTGGAGCAATTTTCCTTATATGGGCATTTGTTCTGACAGCGTAAGCTACACGCCTTAACAGGGTCAGACATGTTGCTAAGACAAAGCTGGAGTTTCCCCCGTGAATAAAGGCATCTGATTGGTCAATCCTTAAATGGATTATATTGTGATTTACAAAGACAATATCACAATATAAACACCGGGATCCCAGAGAGCGAATGGTGAGTGTGACACAAACCGTTAATGGGAGCCAGAGCGAGTTGGAGCCAAATTTTGGTGATCCACGTTCGGAACAGGGCCTTTCTGAGTGTAGTTTGGATGTTCTGCTCCGGTTTCCTCTGGGTGCTCTGGTTTCCTCCAGGTGCTCCGGTTTCCTCTGGGTGCTCTGGTTTCCCCTACCACTACATTGAGCTAGCAGGTTAGCATTGTCCATCTGTTTACAGTCTATGTATTTCAAAGCCCATTGATATGTGTCATGTGATGGCAAGCGGCCTAGACTCGGGGACGCCAACTTACCCCCCCCTGCTGCTCTATTTAATTAACCTGCAGGAAGGAGCCGGGCTTCCCCCCGCACCTACAGACAATGACTGTCTCACCCCTGTCCCTTTTCGCATCTTGCATCTGTATGTCTGCATCTCTACATCCTGCATGTCGATTGTCTCTCTGTTTGCATCTCTATGGCACGGTCTGATTGCCTCCCCCCGGGCTTGGCGCCTTGTCTCTGGATGCGCCTCCTGTACTGGTGACCCCCTCCCATCTTTTGTGGGCGTGACTGTCTTTTCATGTGTTGTCTATGTAAACAGGAACCTGGGCTGTCCGCGCCAGAGCTTATGGACGCTGCTTTGTGTATGTGAGCTCTCCGCACGTGTGTACAATAAACTTACGCTCCTGATTAAGACAAATACTTTTGAGCTTTCTCCTTCATTGGGGTATGTAATTCTACAACAGTCATTATTGGGACAAACCATAAACTATTGCTTCCAACAGTAATGATGTCAAAAGGACTTCCTCATTGGCCGATGCTAAAGACCGGTGTAAATATTTCCATACGCCTCCATTAGCTCACACAGATGGCCTTCATGTCTGTTAGCATGTCGCACCCTGACTTAGCCGCCGTTACCCAGAATGCAGTGTGTGGCAGCCTAGGGGTGGTGGTAATATGATTTAGAAAATAAGTTACATTAATTAATCATAACTGGTTAAAATATGTAAGTATTGAAATAAACCAAGCAACGCCACGACCGGAATTTCACCGGAAGAGTACTGTACTATAAATTTAGGACACACAGGTAAGTATTAAAAGATTAGAATGCACCAGGTTCCAAGTTTGACAGGTTTATTTTACAGTGTGGTCAATACAGTTCAGTCTTTTTATTTAATTTAAATGGATAAAAACTAAATGCTATACTCTCTCACTCGTTCGCACACTCACTCACTCTTACTGTTATTGCACATTCCCACAAGTATACGCCCCAGAACCGGGACGCAGCACTCGTTAAAGTGCGTGAGTGCTAGACGCAGGCGTCCACAACTGCGAAGGACATGGAGCAGCAAAACAGTGGGGTGAAACAGTCACAAGGCAGAGCAGCGAAACAAAGTGCGATAGCGATACGAAGCTGCGAAGCCAAGCAGCAGATAAAGCAGCTGAAGCCAAGCCAAAGCAGCAGGAATCAAGGCAAAGTAAAGCAGGAGCCAGGGCAAACAGAGCAGCAGGGGG